AAGGCGTTTCAACGTATAATATTGAAAAGGCGTTTCGAAAGCTAGAGTGAATTCGACAGTGTACTGAAGAAATTCCAGAAAGTAGGGTAGAATATTCCTTTTATTCTCATACTATCCATACTCAATACATTCATGCCTAAAGTAGACTGTCATCATTTCTACCTTGTAGATATTCGTTATTGCCGTTAGCTATAAAGTATGATTTTGGCTGGAGTTGTCCTGTTCTGCTTGCCTAGAAGAAAAAGGATTGCGAGCATATGCAACATGGATTGTGGATAAATTGTTGCATGCCGGTGTCTTTGCCGTCATATGCTACCGTCATACATAAGAGAACTAACTCTTAGAGGTAACCTCGATCAATCACTGAATATAAACAGTAAAGTTCACCATATTCTTGGATAATAAAGTCAGTGGAATATAGATAACACTCACTCCTTCCATAATAAAAACAATATCACTACCCAGACAAGGCAGACAGTATTTACAGAATCAAGGAAGCAACTTTTCGCCTAATGAACATCAACAAGCAGGTAAGATTGTAGTTTCTCTAATACTTGTCTTTGTGTAGTATTCTTTACGATAGAAAATGTGGATCGGAATACAGAAAAGTGTTGACACGTGACAGGAACTGTTTATTGTAAGAAGTTCTTTTTAGTAGTACTTTCAACTTAACTATACATCCTTTTTGTGAACTGATTTTTCTTCATTAAATGTTGCTCATCCTGTAACAGTAGTACTGATGCATCAATAAAGCTTTGCTGAACTTTTATTTTCGTCTTCTTCATAGTTTTATGAGGAGATAAACAGATAATCCTAACTGGTGTTTGTGAAAATTGGAAATAACTAAGCGTTTGCTTTATAAGCACTACTTTTGTTACGAAAACTTGTAGTACTGCACCAGATTATATGTTATCGTAAAATATTGAGCTGTATATATCTTTCTTCGCTATGACAGTATATTCCGATGGACACTCGTAATAGCAAAGTTTCTCGACCACATGGTCTTCGAAACCAAGCATATAATGACTGAAAAGATGTATATTTGACGTGTAATACTTGAAGAGGGCCGGCAATAATGGACGTGTAGACATTCATTCAATCATATGGCATAACCCAAAATTGCAGACGTGGTCATTATATGTAACGTACTACCATTCGTATCAAATATATTATTCTATACCCATCCCAAATGTGCTGTTCAAAAGAACTAAGTATTACTGTTAATTACCATGATACGAGGAGTCAGTGAAGATAGCGATGCGACTTTCACGTAAGGTTTTACAGATTGAGCAATTACATGACAAATTCATCGTTTTCAGATTAAGTCTATTATCAAAGTAGTATTAGTACGGAACTAAACTATAATTATACATACCAACAAGATTTATAGTAAAAAAGACTTGGCGTAGTTATTTTATTCGCATTTAAATAATCCACTAGATGAATAATATATAGTGAATAACATGATATATATGATATATATCTGAACAATGTGAAACACAATTATCGTCACTCGTAAACTGCTTCTTTACATAATATTCCGTATTCAGAAATTCGCCAACTTGTTCGCCGCTATAGACTTCATTGTTAGAAAGACTTGAGCCTTTCAGTTACTTGACAAAAGCCATAAATGGCATGTCAGAAAACGTATGAAAACCTTAGCTTAACGGCATTTCGAAAAACAAAAAATCAGTTGTTAAACAAACGATTAAAATTCGTTATCAGTATCAAATTCGATAAGTAAACGAAATTGCATCTAATAGAATGTACCCATAAGTGTCTTACTTGTTGTAGACAATGCACTTCATCTTTTAACCCTCCTAAAACTTCGCCTAGTAGTTTGGTATTACCGAAGAAACTTCAATTGGTAATATGAAAACAAAAAAAAATTAATTACAACGTTCACAATACTATTAGCAATCCACTTTTTAGATATTACTCGCCAATATTAATAAGAACTTTGCTCATCGTGTTGTCAGTTATTGCGGATTATGAAGGACCAACTCTTAACCTCACTACTGGTCTGATGCCTCTTAACTATTCAGGTTAGTTGTTAATTTAAGCAAACTCGTTATTCCCTAGAAAGTAGAAACGGATGTAGACGGATATTCAATAAAGCCACTAGATAAGCGGGCCAAAGGGACTTCATTTTCCCACACTATGAATCCACATATACAGGATCTACATAACTTCAGTTTTCAGGCAGTGATCATTAAGTTGCAGCCTGTTAGGTCCACAGGATGAACTGATCGATAAGCATAATGAATAGTAACTTTTGGGATCCATTTATGGACCAATAATGTGCGTATATTTTTACCGTATAATTGGTAAACAACTAAACTGTTCATATTCATGTCCCTCTTACTATGAGCTTTATTTTCACCTGTGAACTATTATTATACGACCTACCATTCTTGAATTATGCTCTGTCTATTAATTACTACCTTCATCATTCACAGCCACATTTGTCCGATTCTTGTACAAATGTTGTTTCATATTTTATGGTACAGTGTGGTCTGTCTGGTTGGTTTATAAGCCTGTCGATTTACTGAGAGCAAAGACCAATGCACTTCAAATGGAACAAAAAATCTTCCAGGTTTGTTGAGAAACTCCGACAGATCCTGCTCCAGATTTCAACCATTTGTTCTTTGTTAGGATGTTTTCTCTTTCTGCTAGTACTGCGCTGGAATAATAGTAGCAATAATAATTTGTTGCGGTCCAAAGGCCTTCATGGAACCTATCGATATCGTTTAATAAGTTTGGTCCCTGTGTCTCTATTTATTCACAATTTTCGGATTGGCAGTAGGTTGCAGTCAACTCTATGGTATTTCGCTTTGGATTTGGACAATGATACTACGTCTGCTAAATAAGAAATTGTGTTATAGGGCAATAAATACAAGATTTTATCAAACAGGTATAATCTGCTTCGTATTTGAGTGTGTTAGAGTTGTCCAATGTATATTCGTCGACTTGTCTCGAATATTTATAGCTTGAAATAATGATGAAATTGCAGATTGTTAGACAGACAACTGATTAATATTTCCAAATAACCACACGCACATGTTGGTCAACGGAAATGAAGTGATACATTTGATAATGACATGATGTCACATTTCGTATGCCGATTGCGTATATCAAGTTGCATGGATTTGAAATGTCTGTGTTAGTCATTGAGATTGGCAAACCAGTGTGTCACTGACAGGACGCTAATAGCAAATGACCTGGAAAGAGATATGAAATTGTAAGAATAGAAAAGCATTATGTTCTACCGCATAATGTGTTCGGATTCCGAACGTTTGTGTTGGTTAACTGTGACAAACTATCTAAATCAGGTGGATAATAAATCCAATCTTCAGTTCGGTAATAACACAATTTTTTCAATTATGTAAGAGTGGCCCAATACACAATCAAAATTTTATAATCCCAGTCGATGCAAGCAGCATAATAAAAATTGGCTGCCGTATAAACTACGTATCAATTAAAACATACTAAATGCAGTTCGATAAAAAATATTTGAACTCAGTGAAGGCGTAAGAAGGGTGAAAACTAACACTAGTACCATCTCAAGTGGAAACAAAATGATAAGAAGAGTGTACACATAGAGGAATCAAGAGGGACAAGTTACAAGTATACATACATACACAAAATCTTCAAAATGGCTGCTAAACTACCATATTCTCTAGAAAATCGAAGACTACTTAACACTGATGTTCTTTAGATCTAAAAATGCAAACCCTGGTTAACTGATATCCTGATTTTCTGAACAGAATTCACCAGCGAACAAACAAAAATAGAATATCTGCAGGTTTTGTAAATGAAAAAATGCCAATGGTGTACAGTATTGATCCTCAGATATCGACATATTTTGTGAGTAATTATTGTTACTAGAGAAACACAGAGTGTCTAACGTCGTACGGAATATTTTCAGAGACATCACACATTCTACTGACTGTTCATACATTTATCAGATTAAGGTTGTGGAGATTATCAAGTTTTTGATTCAGATCAGGAACCGACTGACGTAAGACAACCATCCAAAATACGGGAGCACTGGTAGGCCGTTTTGCTCTATTGTGGGACGCATCCACGATCCCGCTCGCGGGATTCGAACCTGAGGCCTTCAGTCTCGCGCGCGAATACTTAACCTCCAAACCACTAAGTTGGCATCCATATGGATTTGGGACTTTTGTTATGGTTGAATGTTGAGAAGTGATCGACAAGTTATATTTGAGGAAACGATCGAATTGGGAATCCCAGTGCATTATACACTTCACCGTCGGCAGTGTACTATATGGTGCCGGAGGTTTCTCGTTCTGTTACCAACTGGAAGCTTAGAAAGTCAATTCATCCGTGGGTCTCTTTCTTGAGTACTGGGTAGCCTGACTACGGATTTCTTCAACACCGTTTTCAATGTTTGCTAATATCTAACCTGGAGGTTCAAAATTGTATCAAGTTTTCTTACTTTAAAAAGAATGCTGGTTTTTCGAAAGATGTTTAAATGAGAACAAATCGTAAAGCGCTTAGACTAAGAATAAAGCCCTTATAATTTTCCCTACAATATGCAAGTTTGCAACCATTGCCAAATAATTGTTGGCAGGATATGGCTTTGATGTATCGAGTCGTCCGTAATCCTCAGCACCTTGATAAAGTTGTGGTACGTTACGTCAATAAAGTGCACTCAGAACGAAACGTTTTTAAACATTCATATTTCTTCAGTAAGTTATGGGAATTCATACTGATGAGATTGATGAAAGCATCTCCAACTGAATCTTCCAGAAGTAAGCTCAAAGTACTTCTAGTTCTTTGGTCACTGAAAGAGAATTATATTGTTTTTATTTTACTGAATTTACTAACGTTAACAAGTCATTTTTAACCTTCTAGTTTAGCAGGAAACATAACAAAACAATAACGTTTCTATAGTCAACAACCTGCAGACTTGGCGTCCAAAGGAAAAATAGTTTTTTTTTCAATTTGGCCAATCAAGGTTAGATTTTTCACAGTTTAGCTAGAGCGTACGGTAGCACAAGATTCATGACCTTGTACACAGAGCGTCTCTTGATTTGAGTTTTCCGAAGACATCATTTCCTGTGCCAGCTGTTTTGTTATATATCCATTTACTTCACTTCATTTCTTCAAATATTTTGTATTACTATTCTTATAATATCTTCGACAAAAACAATTAGGATGTTAATATATTGCTTTATAAGCGTATATGCTTAAATTTAATGAGTTAAGACTTTAAAATAATTATTAATTTGTTCTAACTGAAAATTGATAATAAAAGGTTGGTTGAGTTTTATTGGAAAAATTTATACAAAGAGAGTATTCATTACCTGATTAATTTCCATCCTTAAAATCTATGAAACATGTTAACATATGTTAATGTCGAAAATCCATGAATAACATAATCACAAATACGCTAAATTAACAATTGTGTGCTCCGGTTTTGAGCATTAGTTCCTTCCTCTCAATCTGCTAATTCGTATTAGATCGGAGACCAGAGTTTCTGGTGTTTTGTCATATGCATTTCATTTTCCTGTTACCTCGTTTGTTGTAGAGTGACGCTCTAATCAATAGATTGAAAATCACTTTCTAGTTTTGCTCGTTCTTTCCCAGCATTCCTTTCTCAGTAGTCGCAATATGCACAAAAAGTGCATCTATATATTAATACTTGAGCATATATTTGTCATTGAGATGCAAAAAATCTTATCATGCTGGTAATCACTTTGACCAAACTCTTAGTTCTGAATTTTGTTCTTACCTTATGATAAACATAGAATTGTATGGCGGTACTTGGATAAATGCATGTATTCGTAGAACGGGCATATTTTGTAGTTAAAAAATTTAAAATTTGAACTAACAGATACTAAAGACAGTCTACCTATGTGCAAGTACCATTTCATAAGACGAGAAGTTTTATGGTGTAAAATGTCGTACCAAAGTCCAAAGCTGGACTAAAAGCTTACTGATCCCGGACTTATGGTTGCTTCGAGATCCATATTTTTTCGAAGCCTAATTTTGAATCAATCGAAATACTGCAATCCAAATATCTACTATTATCAACCATCTGAAATACTAGTGAAAGTTGTTTTTTAAGTGTATAAGAGAGTTAGTTATAATATCATTCTCATTAATTAGTTTACTGTGATAATCTTCCGCATGTTCTTTGGGTATACTTCATGAACTTTATTGAAAAATCGCTCGCAGACTACACATCACTGTGTGACGATTCAAAAAGTGGATTTATAACTTCACTCGAAAATTCTTTACTTTTAGCACAGAGTAGACTTAAACATGCATTGCCAATAAATTTATTTGATCCAAGAACCGCTTGTCACGAGTTATTCCCTACTGTGCTTTGTACACCTTTAAAGAAAAATACTGGTTCAAGAACTCGTATTCGTAAATGAAATACTGCACTGTATTTCTCAAATTGGACGCCGGTTGACATTACGCATTTTAATCTGATTAATTTTGTCAGGTAGTTATCATAAACCAGTGTAATAAAACGCTTTTTTGTGTTTGTGTAATTATAGTTGACTTATCAGACCCAGGAAATTCTATATAAGAAAGCTGAGAAACACGAAAGCCACCGTGTAAAAATCGTCTGGTTATTGCTATTCATATGATCAAAAAAGTTGAACACGGTAGATTGATACAAGGAAGATATTTCTTTGACTATTCACAAGCATGCTAAATGCTGATTAATGACTTCTCTGGTCCGTTCAAATTCGTAAATCAGAATGTTTGCCAATGAGTATTGAAAGCCACTTGAACCATTGTTTGTTTATTTCGAAACCATTAATTACCGCTTCAGCTGGTCTTCTTCTCTCATTGTTTCTTTCGCTAAATTATGCTGCAAATCATTTTGCTTTGTGTTTATTGGTTTTTAGTCTATGATTTCCGTTAATTATTGATATCTCGCCCTATAATTCGAATATATGCGTGACTTATCATAATGAACAGCTTTCTGTCCACTTATATATATGCCTTTCTGCTGTGGATTTATTCTGTGAGGTCGAAGACAATCAAAAGTAAGTTTATGTTATGCCTACTGATTACTTTGGATGAAACTTTAAATGCATCTTTACTAAAAGAGATAACAAAGTGATGAGTGGATATTTTATTCATTTAACTGAAAAAACTATCTGCTCCACAAAGTGATAGATCAAGATGCATTTGCTGATCTGACAGATAATCATTGTGCAGAACCCACACAAATTATGTATATATCATAAACGTAAAGTATTGCAAAATATTTGATACTCCTAGCAAGGGAGTTTTTAGTTTATCTGCCTACTGGGAATGAGTTCTAGTTGAGGATCCGAAAAATTTTACCAAACCAAATTAAGGATTGTGCCTATATTTATTATCTTGGCTCCTTTTTTCTCGGAGCTTCATTTTTAGAAATATTGGGAGATTCATACACTACAAATTAGATAAGGTTTGCAGTTTCAAATTTAGGAAGCTGTTAGTTTATGAAACGGAGTTTCGCTTTGAGAAACCTTAGTTCAAGATATTAGTTTAGACTAAATCATCATTATTCTGTGAATGCATCAACAAACACACCGTAATGCGCTATCGTTGAGTATTTAAGGTTTTACAGCTTTCATCGTTATTTGGTTTCGTATAAGTTTCTAAGAGGACGCTAAACTACAGCGCTGTTGCTAACATAAGGTTCATAGTGATCAAGCACATCAATCTATTTTCCTGTAATGAAATCTAAAATATACAGTTATACACCAAAAGTTTTTAATATGTCTGATTTCATGAGAGAAATATGTTTGCTATTATAAATTCATTTAAGTATTAGATTGACCAGTTATTCAAAATCACATGATAACTTTTCCGATCGTTTAATTTGCTTTACAAAAAGCATCAAGTATGGTGTTTATTTGTCTTAATTTATATGAACGGCCAAATCATGTTGACAAATATGTTGATGTAGTCAAGTTCTGCCATATGGCAATGTTCATTCATTACCAGTGGTTCATAATTACCTTACTTGATACAAGTCAGTTAGTTACTTATTAAGCGAAACAATTTTTAGTGAAGATATCTAGTTGGTTTGATGCCTGTAACTTCTACATCTAACTGATGGACCTAGAATTTTCTATCGATAACGTTTATATGTAACAATTCTTCTGTGTACTGACCCAAGAATTTAAGGTTTAAATGTAAATTTACCACACCTATGTTGTACAAAACAGTAATTAATGTAAGTAGTGCATATGAGCTCCATATTTAAGTATCGGTTAGGAATTTTCTCGCCTAAAGGTTCATAGAAATATGATTCATTTATGACTTCTTGTTTGTGAGTTGACACTATCAAGTTGTTTGAAGAACTTTTACCACACATCTAGTAATTATGAAGAAATATTTTTAATTTTGTACGTACAATCATATTTTTGTAAATATTATGGAATCGAAGAAAATTATAATTTTCCGTTGGACGTTGATGAAGTAACTTATCTCGAAAATTCACATCACTGCTGCTCATTTATTAGATGGAATTTATTTCCGTAGAATATATACAAAGTCAAATAAAGAACCCTAAAACTATTCAACGTTTACCATAAATTCCAAGAGTAGTGCTTTTAAAAATCTACTTTAAGTTATTTTTTTCTAAACAGTTGACACACAGGATTGTTTTGGATTGCCAGAAAATCCATTCATTATCTTTGGTGCAGTGGTTTCACATACACGCGCAATCGGCAGAACTCTGTGTTATTTCCAACCGTCAGAACAAAATCAGTATTTGAGTATTTATCCTACGAAATTAGTATTACCTAGCCAATTTGGAACGTGTCCAGTTATACAGATCAAAGAATTCACATCTGTTAGAGATGAACTAATTGATAATAGTGACGTAAATATGATTATACCAATGAAAGTCCCTGATGATACTAAGTTAATTGTAAGTGTTTATTCTGGTAACAAAAATAGTTTTACAGGTCTTATATTCTTGTTTATTGGTCATGTTTCAGGATAATTTCATTTCAAAACATACCTTAATATATGATGTTTGTTTAAAAGACAGATAATTGATTAAGGAAGTTTTGCCAAAAACGCTCATTTGTTTCACAAATGTAATCTGAATTTCCAAGTTTCATTATAAATTATGTAGTGATATCTACCCTTTAACGAAATTCCAGTCGATTCAGTAATCCAACTGAGGACCTTACAGTTTTATCCTCAAGAAAATATGTCTATTTTCTACAAGATTTATAATCAAGTACAACAAAAGCAACGCATAGATCTATATGAAACATTTTCTGACAGTCTATAGAAGCATATTTAATTAAGCTATTATAAACCCGAATAAAAATAAGTATGGAAGCTTCCGCTTTGATTCTACATCTTACCCTTGCGAATTCTACAGTAAAGATACCATAGAAAAACAGTCTACATTCTATCTTATTCAGAGCTCACACAACAATAATTTATGATTCAAATCTTAACTGGTCTACTTGGTTAATCGGTTGAACATAAGACTATCCCTTCAATCCATAATCTGTGAATAAGCACTCTGTGACTCTACTCTAAAAATACTAAATACTGATAGCTTAGTGTTGATCAAACTTGATAAAAGTTATGGTGTTGATCTAACGAATAGATCTAAATACATAGAGAAATTTGTTTTGAGTTCGAAGAATTAATACGAATCCTATACTGCGATTCAAAGTAATAACTATACTGCAACATCAAAGAGCCGTATGAATAGATAAAACTGAAGAAGTACATATACAGAGAAGTAATTGATCTTGCTTTATCAGGTAATTTGTAGGGTTTGAAAGCAATGGGTACTGAACTCGAGCTTTAATGTGAATATTAACACTGAGGTGAAGGTACAGACAACCGACGAATTTCAAAGATGAAAAATACTTATTTCCCATGGCAAGCCAAAACTCAAAATGTAATCATACCATCTATAGCCTAGATTACTTATCTAATATTGAATATCTATTTGGCAGTGCCTTGACCAAATACTTTCCCTTCTTTTTCTGTGTGTTTGTGTGTATTTAGTTTCAAGCCAACTGTACGAATTATCCTTCTATGCTAGATAAAGTCGTGCATACATCATCATCAAATCTAAAAATACAAATTTTATTTGACCCAGCTAATTCTGCTGCATCAGATGTTGCCTATCAATTTGTAATATCATCATACGGTAATTTAAACTATTTCGTTATCTATTTACATAATAGAGTTTGTGAATCGATCATTAATTAGAGAGATAGCTTCGAATAATTCTAAAATAACTTATCTAAGCATTTCATTCTTTATCTTCTAAGTATAAATAGGTAAAAACTCTCTTCTAATGCAACTCGATACTACGCATATACCTTATACCCCATCATTGGTTTTCTTCACTCAGTCAGTCATAAGTAACTTAAAACACGGAAGGCATGTTAATCATGTTCAATTCGCTACGTCATGTAATCACGATTGTCGATTGTATTAAAAATTATTATTGAGAATACTAATCGAGAAGAGAGAATGAATTCTCAGAATGAAAAGTAGGAAGAAATTTTAAGCTCACAATTTAGAAGACTGATGGTAAATTTATCCACTTAGCTTTATCCAATAAGTAATTAATTGCATCTTTCTGTATTTTATTTGTGAAATGGTTAAAATAATCATACTCTTTCATGCTTAGAAAATAAACATGTTTTTAGATTTAACAAAACAAATCGTAAATATAAAATGAGTGTGCTACAACGTGATTATTGAACTGATGAAGTTTGTTGAGGCGGCAGCTAACCAATATGTTAAGGGTAATGTCCTTAATATCTGACTCCAAATAATAATATTCCGTAACTGAGTATTTAAGGTAGGCTTAATCTCCTAGTAGAATTATGGATTTACTCGAGATTATTAAGAAGCCTGAACACCAGTTATGGAGATAGTTTATTATTAATGAATAATGATAATCCACAAGCGTATTGTGAGCAAGCACACGATGGGAACAGAGAGAGTGAGTGAGTTTGTTAAAAATCCATATATATTTGAGGGTTAATCGGGTGTAGATAAATTATCGATTATCTGCACGTTGAAACCAATAGGAAAATAGTTTAAAAGTTAATGTACAGACACGCATTCGATCAAACACACCGAAATTAACATAGTGAATTAAGAGTCTAAGTTACAATGAATAGACAGATGATACAGTGGCCAAATGGGCTTGCCACATAAGCTCCCATCCAGAACATTGATGTTTTTATGTACCAAAAAAAAAATTGGATTAACATCTATGTTCGACAAAGAGATAAAGAACGGAACTGTTTTTAAAATAAAAGTACAACTCAATATGATGAGTAAGCGTAAAATTGTAATAACAGCTTGTGTGTTGAAACGTTTCATATCGTATATACAATTGTATATTTAACATTAATGAATTGTATAAAGTTAAAATGTAAGCATAATGATGATCCGTGGGGCCAATAAAAAAAAATAGTAATCAAAATAAAATAGGATTTTTATGTGTTATAAGAGTAGTCTCAGGATTTGGTCTAGATAAATATGGTGGTAGCTACATACCTATCTGGCCAATGTACTCTTCTTCCTGATCTTGTTGTAGTTTGTGCTGCTGCTGAACTTTGATTTGAAGTGTTGCTTGTTGCAGGTAGTTTGAATGGTGCTTGCTCTGCTGCAGGTTTAGACGGTTTTACAGTTGTCTGTTTTTTCTCAAAAATATTTCGTCTCATACCGAAAGGTACAAAAGGGCGAGTTTTACCTGTTGAGGTGTCCTTGTTGTTTATGGGGATGTTTTGGAATAATAATTTCGTTTCCTTAGACTGCAAAAGCTTTTGTAGCTCCGTATCGACCTTTTGATGCTTTGCCATTTCTTGATAGTCTATATCAGGGATGGAGAAGGTATTGATATTTAATCTCGATAGTGCATCTGCTGCCTCATTTGCATTGCCTTTAATATAGCGTATATCAGCTGCAAATTGTGAAATGAATTCTAGTTGACGAATTTCGCGCGGACTATATTTATCATGATTGTGCATCAAGGACTTAGTTAGGGGTTTGTGATCAGTATATATCGTGAAAGAATTGCCTTCTAAAATGTAGCGAAAGTGTTTGATAGCTAAGTAGATAGCCAACAGTTCTCTACCGAATGTGCTATATTTTGTTTGCGTTGCGTTTAGCTTTTTTGAGAAAAATGCAAGGGGTTGCCATTGTTCATTGACACGTTGCTGAAGTACAGCACCTACTGCTATGTTAGAAGCGTCAGTCATTATTGCTAAAGGTGCATCAACCTTTCGTCGTGCGAGTAATGCCTCTGTGCTTAAAGCGCTTTTCAACTGATCAAATGCTTGAATTGCTTGCGGTGTCATTGCTAATGATTTAGCTCGACCCCTTAATAAATCAGTTAGTGGTTTTGCTAAGTCTGCACATTTGGGGATGAAGCGTCTGTAAAAGTTGATCATCCCAAGGAAACGTCGTAGTTTCTTGAATGAATCAGGCAAAGGATAATTTTTGATAGCTTGTGTTTCCTCAGGAACTGGTTTAATGCCTTGCTTATCAAGTACGTGACCTAAAAAGGTGAGGGATTGTTTTCCGAACTCACATTTGTCAGGATTGACCGCTAACCCATACTCGTTTAGCTTCTCAAAAAGCATTTTCAGATGAGTTAGATGTTCATTTTCATCTTTGCTTGCTATAAGTAGGTCATCTATGTAAGCATACACAAACGGTAAGCCCCGTACCACTTGGTCAATAAAACGCTGGAAACTTTGTGCAGCATTCCTTAATCCGAAAGGCATGCGGACGAATTCGTATAGTCCAAAGGGGGTAGTAATGGCTGTTTTAGGAACATCGTCTGGATGAATTGGAATGTGATGGTAAGCACGGACGAGATCAATTTTTGAAAAGATCGACACGTCAGACAGGCTATGAGTGAAGTCATGCAGATGTGGGAGAGGATATCTATCTGGTATGGTCCGGCTGTTGAGAGCTCTATAGTCACCGCACGGTCTAACTTCGGAAGAGTTTTTCTTAGGTACCATATGAAGCGGTGATGCCCACGGACTATCGGAGGGGCGTATGATGCCCAACTCAATCATTTTGTTGAATTCGTTCTTTGCGATAGCCAGACGAGAGGGATCAAGGCGTCTTGGACGTGCGAACACAGGTGGACCCTCTGTCTTTATGTGGTGTACGACGGTATGCGTCGGTTTGTCGTGTTTGAAACTCGGTCGTAATAAATCTGGAAACTGATTAAGTAAATTGACGTATTTGTCGTTCTCATGATGAGGTTTAACTAATAAATGTATAGAAGTCTCATTTGATATAATTCCTCTAATTTCCTTACTCTGTTCGGCAAGGACAAGTTTCCTATTTCTGACATCTACCAGTATTTTGTGGAATTGCAGAAAATCAATGCCGATTATAGGAACGAGGACGTCCGCTATGATGAAACTCCAGGAAAAATTAGATTTAGGACCGAAATTTAATTGCAACCGCCTTTTGCCGTACGTCTTGATGTCAGACCTGTTTGCTGCTTGTAGTTTTAGTTTGGGGTCAGGTGTGTTTTTCTCGAGTGCAGTAGGTGGTACTACACTAACCTCTGCCCCAGTGTCGACTAAAAACTGTGTGCCGGTTCTTCTGTCTGTAACATATAATAGACGACTGTCTTGAAAGTTGTGGTCAGTGAGTGCAGTCGTCATTAACCTACGGTCTTGACGTTCCTTTTTCTGTGTGCTTGCAAAGTTACAAGGCGGAGTACATTTTCTAGCTTGTTTGCCATATGTTCTATGGTACCAGCAAATGTTGTGTCTAGTAGTGCTTGGACTACGTCGTCTACGGCTTGTGGATGTTCCTCTACGCTTGCTGTGGGAGGCATTCAATAATTGGATCTGAGCTATCTGTTTCGTAAGGGTATCAACTGATCGTCGTAACTCGGCGATCTCGTCAGCTGAGCTTGATTGGATTTGAGATACAAGGTGAGTCTTGGACCGTTCGTAAATTCTGTCGGCTATGTCTGCTAGTCTATCAAAATCAACGTCTTCGTCTCCAATTGCTAGTATCTGTTGAATGTTTTGAGGGAGACGTCTGAGCCACAATTGATATAGTAGACGTTTGTCTACTGTACGATTTCCTAATAAGTTTGTCATGTGGCGTTTTAACTGTGACGGTGTATTGTCACCTAGCTCCACGTTGGCTAAAAGTTGATCAATTGTCTGTTGGTCGGTGAGAGATGTGACACGAATGACCTCTCTTTTTAGACAATCGAATGGTGAGTCAGGATCCGGCTTAAAAATGACATCCGGCACTTGTTCAATGACGTCATCTGGCAGCAGTGAATTTGCATAACTAAATTTCGTACTCTGGTTTGTGATTTTGTTTGCTACAAAAAAGCTTTCCAAACGAGCAAACCAGAGTTCAGCCTTTCGTGGATTAAAAATGGGTAAAGGTACAGAGATGGCACCCACGGAAATAAATTTAGATGAAAGGCTTAACGAATTATCAAGTGCCATGATACGAAAAAGCAATAGTAATAATAAGCTGAGGATTGTAATATACAATATGAAGAGAAATAAAAAATAACAAAAAATATATATATAAGACTCACCAAAAAGAAAAACTGTCACTTTTGGTATATGTATGAGAATATACAGTAATAATTCCAAAGGAACAATGTTATGGATGGATTTATTATGACTGTTAATGAATTGTTAATAATTGTAATAGTAATTCCAATGTGAAGTTCTTTAAGATACGCTTGGAGAGTATGCAGCAGAATTCGTAGAGGAATGGTGTGTGTTCTAAAAGCGGTTCACCAATATGTTGAGGCGGCAGCTAACCAATATGTTAAGGGTAATGTCCTTAATATCTGACTCCAAATAATAATATTCCGTAACTGAGTATTTAAGGTAGGCTTAATCTCCTAGTAGAATTATGGATTTACTCGAGATTATTAAGAAGCCTGAACACCAGTTATGGAGATAGTTTATTATTAATGAATAATGATAATCCACAAGCGTATTGTGAGCAAGCACACGATGGGAACAGAGAGAGTGAGTGAGTTTGTTAAAAATCCATATATATTTGAGGGTTAATCGGGTGTAGATAAATTATCGATTATCTGCACGTTGAAACCAATAGGAAAATAGTTTAAAAGTTAATGTACAGACACGCATTCGATCAAACACACCGAAATTAACATAGTGAATTAAGAGTCTAAGTTACAATGAATAGACAGATGATACAGTGGCCAAATGGGCTTGCCACAAGTTATAGGATAAGTTAAAGTCTAATTGTTATTTGTCAGGTTTATCAGTATGACAGTATATGCACTTTCCAGTCAGCTTGAAAGGACAACAAATAAGGAAAAAATTATATAGATTGTTATTTGTGGAAGTGTTTGTTTTTACCGGCGCTTTAACACCAACCTGGACATCATCATCACATCTTTACGAAAATGTTTGAATATTTAACTTATATACAAACCAAAAGTTGTATAATTCGATTTACGGTTATTTCGCTAACCACTTACTTTTATTTAAAAGAACTGAACTTGCTTTATTTCAGACAAGGTACTTCTCACGCGATTCGAATCAGGGAATCAAGCTTCTGATTTTTTCAAGTAAATAGTAAACATTGAACCCTTTTAAGAGGTTATCAGTTCCATGGACATGATTTTCCGGTTGTCAATAATCGGGACCATATTACTCAGTTTGTTTCAGGACTTATAGATTTTGATAAATACCATCACGTTACCTTCATTCACATCTCGGTTAGATTTTGGATAGTAGTTAGCAATGGAATTTATGATAACAGCCCCGTGTTTTATTATTTTCGATACAGGGTTGGAGACTCATTGAAACCATGAACTTCGGGTGCATATTTATTTAGCTGTTGATTCCTAAATAAAACAGATCATCTATCTATAACTTCAATGTTAAACACTGTTCTATATTTAATGTTTACCACATAATATTATGGGAATATTCGATTATCAAATAAATAGTAAAAAAGTGAAAAAATTTCTGTAATTTCTGGGGTTTTTTAATAGGAAGTTTAACTTTTAAAGACGAGTCACCAACCTTGTATGTTTAAAATTATTAGTCTCCTTCAACAAATAAATGTAAATCACATAGTCCTGTCTTTTTTAAGCCATTATCAACAAATCTACCAACTCCATTACTGTATTCACCGCACTATCAATAGGCTATTTCAATTTTTTCTTACACTTTCGATCAGCATATCAGGAAGTCAGATAGCTAGGTCATAAGCATTTTTATCATTTGAATAAGCAACATAAAATGCAAAGTCACAGCACACTTTGATTTATGAATCTTTGTAGTTGCATAACTAAGATCTGTGTACTGGTATAGCCCTGTTAATATATCGCGCGATACGGTTGCTCATTAGAGTCACAAACCTACTGACCGGACCAATGACGCCTAAGTCAGCAGGAGCAGCCGAGAGTCACCTCTGAGTTCTTATTGGTTCTTGACGTAGTAGCTTTTCGTTTAACCCAGTTTAGAACACAAATCTCAGCCTCCGTTCCATCGAACCACATATATTTCAAACACACTTGGTTTATATACAAGTAAATCAGACCACAGCACACCGTAAAATAGAAAATAACATTTGTACAAGAACAAAAAAAGGCTGTGATTGTGAGAAACTGTGACAAACAGATTGAAAAGAACTTGAGAACAGTAAATCGTATAACAGTAACTAATATGTCAAATAAAAGCTTATGATAAAATGAATATAATTATGGACATAATATAGTTACTTAATAGGTTATAAAATAAGAAAATATGTTAATATTAGTCCATAAATAATTCCTAACGGTTGCCATTCATTTATTCTCGTCCGCATATAACAAAATATTCATTAAAATTATTTTTAAACTAATTGCGCATCACTATTTTATTATCGATTTTCGACACAAAAATCCTAAACAAAATTTATTTAACTTTTAGCAATTTTTAAAAGAAAAACATCTTATTTCATAGGTCGCTACTATGAGTCATTTCGTCTGGTTGTTATAAAAAAAAAACGTGGATCATCTGACTTGGATAAATTTTTTAAATATTCTGATCACTAAAACATGAACTTTTTAATGAGAAGCATATGAACTTCCAGACACTTTTTATCATATTAATAAGAGTCTTATTTCGTAAATTTCATAAATCTTCTTCGTGCGTACAATAGTACGTACATATTACATGAATCATTCTACTGCAACATTAGATGAATAATTTACACTTACATGATTCAATCAGCGTTATAACGAAATGAGAACTGTATATTAAATTCGTAATTAAATTTATAACACCCTACAAGTAAATATTATATTTTATTATAGACTACACATGATAAAATTATGTGTAATTACGTTTGTACAGTTTAAAAAATGCCATTGTTTGAAAGAACATTTCCTTTACTGAAACGTCTACATTCTTTCTATTGTTTCATTGAATTCATGAACCGATCAGTGCTAGGTAACCACTGAAAATCTAGAAGCACTAGATGGCCGTTTTGTCTTAGTAAGGGACTCCTCAGCAGTATGAATCCACAAACGTGCATGCAGTATTCGAACCCAGGACCTTTAGTTTTGCTCGAATCATTTAATTGTTCTTAGCTTAGATGATGTAAGTAAAGAACGTCTCATTGATAACTCTCTTAAAAAGTGGTAGTTTTCACCTATTGTTGATTGGGTTAATTTGTTTTCAGGCAAACTAGTATCTATGATCACTATAAAATTGTACTTATTTAGAATGAACTTCCCAATTTCACAAGATTCGTTTGCATGAAGTATATTCTCCACTGAAAACTTGTACTACACCATTTCGGCATTATGCATATTTTATCTGTGCAACAGTTGACAATTGAGTAGTTTTAGATCTCCCCTATTTCTATCTCATTTATATTTCTGGTGACTCAGTTGATATTTAAGTAATATTTAAATTTCTTCTTAGCGGGAGAATCTAGAAGTAACTACACGACTGAAAAAACTGAGTTCAGTGTCTGAATGACTGGTGATAATGAAAATTACTATTTTTTATTGAAATATTTGTTCTACAGTGTTATATCAGAGCGAAGATTAAATCACGAATAACTTCTGAGAATTATTAATGGACTAATATTATTTATATATTCTTATGGTATAACTATTCAATAATTAGATTATGTATATTTATATTCCTCTTATTGTAAGCTTTATTTTGACCTGTGATTTATTATTGTACGATTTACTGTTCTTAAGCTATGTTCAGTTTATTGACTACTGCCTCCCACGTTCACAGCCATTTTTTGGCTTTATTGTGTATGAATGTTATTTCCTATTTTATGGTGCGTTGCGATCTGTTTGGTTGATATATAAACCCAGTATGTCTGAAATAAATGATTCGATTCGCATAGCGGGAGCTGGTATTGGTGTTCTGGACTCAAGTGGACGGGCTAGGCGGACATAGGACCAATAAAGACGCTGGGCTGCCCATACCGGTCGAACGTCATTGGTTTGGCACAGTGCTAAGATTATATAAGTCGTATTTTGATTGGTGGATTAATCACGTGATAAGAGGCCGAACCAAAAGTCACAACATACAGTATTATTTCTTGCAATCTTTTTCATTTAATTCTAGTAATTATTATCAGTCTTTCATTCACAGTTTAGTAATACTCCTTAGTAGGTTTGTCAAATCCTAAAACCTCTCTGTTATTAATGCATAAAAGTTCGAGTTTCGAAAATTAAGATATTTTAACCATATGACAATATATTCTTTGATATTAGTTGATAATGGTTATAAAAAATTGTATTTGAAGTAATCGTTTGTACAAGCACATTCAAATGTTGCTTTTGAGTACAGTAATACTATTAAACGTAATGGATCAAATGAATTCTTTGTACTGGTAAACAATGTTTATATCTTTAGTTCATTTTAAGTGACATTACAACGCACTTTCATGCTATTTACTATCACTACTTGCGTCTATGTGATTTCATTATATGTACTATTGCTTTGATAATAAGCAAAACGATTATATCGACATCCAATTGATTTCCTAAATTCTTAATTATAATAATTTACTGGCGTATTTGTTTATTTCGATTAGAACCATCCAATGAAAATGAGGCATTATCCATAGAACTTAACCGATCAAAAAAGGAGGGATATTAGGGAAATATAGACTACATGAATTGGTCTGGATCACATAATAAGAAAGTTAGATCGAACCAATCATATGAGTAAATTTCGAAAAAATAGAAAGGGTAGAAATGTATAAATTTCACTCCCCAGCACTCCATTCCGTACGAAACTTGTCAGCCTTCACCCGGAAAAATGAATCTTGTTGAAAATTCGTTTTCAGTTACGTTTTATTTGTCTCAAGTTTATAGACCTTAACTAGAGTATGAAGTTCAACAATGTCGACTGTGAGGTAGTTACCCACCGAAGACAATGGAAGATGATTGCTCAATATCTTGAATTGGTGGTTTAACATTGATGGATTCATAATCTCAATTAAAACTCCATCTCCACAATCCTATACTGATAAATACTGAATAGAAGTTTAATAAATCCACCTATATTTTCTCTTTTTGATCAGAATAAAACTATAACTTAATAATTGCTTGAATAATGCCTGACGTATTATTGCATTCAAGTAGTATGGTAGCCGTGTAATGATTTCAGTCTGAAATCTAGTATATTTTCATGCAACCAAATGTTTTTGTCATAAAAGGTAAATTGCTAACTTATATATTAATCATGATGGGTTTTTTCAAAAGTATATGATGGGATTCAACCGGTTATCCACAAAAACGGATGAAATTAATTGCTTCTATTCGACCAATAGGAACTGCCAGTCCCGTGTATAAAATTAAAAGCAGTGCATTCAGTTGTCACTATAACGACATCATATAACTTGTCCCACTGACAAAAAATTACATAATTAAATACATTTTTCCATTGACTTTTTACATCAGCAGGAAGTTCATCTCACAGGATAATTTACTACTTATCAGTTATTGTTATATAAATTTTATTATTAATCGCTTCGTTAACTTCTTATAATTGACATGAATTAACAGTTTTAGGACCATCGTATAACTGTCCATCAGATACATTTCGTTGTTGGGATGCGGCTACTAATTGCATACCCGATTCTCTGACATGTGACACAATTGCTAATTGTCATGATGGATCCGATGAAAATGGTTATTTGTGTAAGTGTAGTATAGTAATGAATATTTCTCTCATCTTTTTACTAGTATAGTTTACTTAATAAAATCCGTAATGATGTTATGAAAAAAACCATAATTCTAATCAGTATTTTTTAGTGTTGGATGGATTATAGTCAGTTTGTAAAATAAAAATATGTTCGAATCAAGTTATTCTATGAATATTTAAAGATTAATTTTGATGGGTCTTCATCAAAAAGGTACTCACATTATTGATTATATGAGTGGAAAATATTAAGAATTTGCCAACTGAATTAATCAAGTGCTACTTTACGCATTTATGACTCTCACATCACTTCTGACTTAAAGATTATGTTATCAACTAGTGGAATGTTTTAAATGTTAAACTGTGTACTCGTGGAGAATCGTTCGACTGCTAATAAATATATTCTTCTAATATTCAGATTAGCTTTAACGAAATGTTGAAGTTGATCTTTGTTAATTGAAGTTTGTTAATTATTGACTGCCGTGAATACCTTGGTATATATTATTTGGTGTTGAATGAATGTTAATGAGCAAATGATGTTTTTCAAGCCGTTCAAATAAATATCCCTTCATTTTGATCGGACTTCAACTAATTGATATAATGATTGCCACTGATCCAGATCCATTAAAAACAATGTATACAGCTCTTAAATTATGTGAATCTGATCGTAATTGTGTAGTCTATTAACATTTCACGTTTACGTCCAAGATCGATCATTTCTTTCTGTATTTCACTCACAGAATTGGAAACTACTCAGCTTGGTAGGATTTGGCTAGGTGTGTAGTTTTATTGGATATTCTTCCAATTCGAAACGAGTTCCATAAATAATTCCCTGCGCAATGGAAGAGAAAAACGTCTCGTAAGGAAGATTTGTTTTGGTAAAGACTCCAGAAGATTTAAATCAAAACCAAGTTTATACTGATCCAACTTAGTGGTTATTAATCATAGAAATTATCAAGCTGAACAACCATTACTTGAACGCGAAATACCATTGAATATTATACTTAATAAAGCTAAAGTGAACGAAAAATCATAATGTATCAGTTAATAAAAATTGTTATGTTGGGTAGAAGTTTACATTGAATCAATTCAAGGTCAAATGGATAGAAATCCTACTTAAAATTAATACATAATCTTTCCCTTAATTAGTGGCCAATAGATTATATTGAGATTTAAGATCCACAATATGACTATAAGAAAAGTTAGTGATTAGACGAATTTTTGAATTTTTTTCCATTCAACATAGGTACTGGAAGAATCAACGGTATCCCTATTCCATTATTTGCAATTATTATAACTAGTAAGTAACGGGTTGAAATTAAAATAAATAATTAAACATAGTATTCTGACATTCAATAATTCTGTCTGTTTGTTTTATACCTTCTTTATTTGGATAAAAAAAGCTACAACTGACAGTAAAAAGGACAGTACAAATTAGATTTCAACTCCTGATATGATAAGTTTGTGTTGTAATAAACGATAATTCAGTCCAGGAAACTATAATTGAAATACTAACTTCGTTACAATAAGACCGTAATGTATCGTATATATATATATATATATATATATATATATATATATATATATCATTCGTTTGATGGTTACATAATGACTTATTCAGCTCATTGGTAACTGAATCTGTTAAACATTCACGTAACATTTCAAGATATAGCTGTATCAACTTACTCATACTTTAAAATTTAGAAAACCCCCATATCGTGAATCAGAATAACATTCATATTATTCAGACTTTTTCAAATTCCTATTAGTTTACGTATAACAGAGAAATCCTATTTAAAGTATATTCATTTAATTACGTACAGTAGTAATATATACTGCTACATATCATAATATTTTGAGCACTAATCAATCTTTGTTCAAACTTCGTTTCATGTACCCTATTTCTAGTTTCTATTGTAAATTATTCTGAATGCAATCCTACAAGAAAGTGGGTGTTTTGCAATCACCAGGACACTACTACAACTAGTATCCAGTTGTTATCATTAGCATAACTTAAGAAAACTACTGTGTGGGACATAAATTTTTAAATAGAGTATCAATTCTCAGGGATTTGTGGGTCCAGTATATAGATATTACTGAATTGCCACATAGTCTACAATAATAATTCAGTACTTATCTTCGTTCCAAAGGATACATCATTGTTATCTCAGCTATGAGGTACTGTAACAAAGAATACTAGTGAAGTACCTAATAAAATAAATTAACTAGTATTTAATACCGCTATATTTGTTATTCTCACAATCCAAGTCACTTTCTATGGGGATATGCAATGTATTATTGTTTACTTCAGTTAACTGAGTTTAAATTCTATGTTTTAAAACAATTTATTTTACCGATCACCCTACTGATTTATAGTAAATATCATGTTCTCTTCTGTATTATTCTAGTATCAATTTTTGGACTTATTCTTTTGGTTTTAACTATTGTATTTGTTATTCGCAAACAAAGGAAGCATAAGCGCAAAACAGAGCAAACGTAAGTTATGACGATTACACCATGTATGTTTTCGTAGTAAACATTTTATATCCTTTGTTTGATCAGCAGTATTTTATTTGTCTTAAAAATAACGTCAGCTGTATTATTTTAAACTGATTTTTTGAAGCTGTAGCTGATAACATTTTCCAGCTGAATAATGAAAGTATCTTTCATCATTATAAGACGGTGAAACGTTCGAGAACTTATCGACTTCTAAGTGCTTTTAATCTATTTCTAACACAAAAATGATTCATGGAATAGGCTCTATTTTTCATCAATGTTATTCTGTACTATACAGTTTCATGAAGTCTAAAAGGATGAATAGTTAAATTAACTTCACAAAAACTCCGTGTTTAATAAACTTCAGGAAATAATGGGTGTTTGTATATTAAGAAAGAAATTCCTATTCAGGATTGTAAAGATCATGATGTAAGTGGTGATCTAGAAAATCTTTCGAGTTTTGTTTAGAATAAAATATATTGAGTATTCACTTACACATCCGATAAAAATTCATTTGATGGCTGCGTAATATCTGATAACAATCTTAACTTTCGAATATTCAGTATCTTGTCTTTGAAAACAATACCATTTAACCATTGAGTCAGAATCTAACAGTTAATATTTTCAAATTCAGTTAGTGTTGTTATATAGTGCCAACGTTCATCTATTATCACAAGTGGGAAAATTCGCTTGAGAATGAAGACATTCGTTGCTCTTTAGTTCCCAAGCTTCTTTAGCTTTAGTGTACAAGTATATGAAAAGTGACAAGGCACCTTTTTTGCATAAAGCCGAATTCCTAGAATACAATATTTGCAAATGCCATTTCTCTTGTCAATAAAAATGGTTGAAACCAACTAGAGTCAACAGGTAGGTGTCAGCTGCCACGATAACAAACCAATAAGAGAAGCTATGCAAATGTGTAATTGCACCGTTTTAATGGTATTTCCCGATTACTATTCACAAAAGTTGGGGACAGGTTAAATTGTGCAGTGAGAGATTGATACATTGACTTAAAGAGTTTACACTGTATAAACATGTGCAACCAACGTATATTTGAACAAATGAAATCTTATCAGTAATTGGGTCCTATGACCATCATATTTTTCTCACGAAAATATCCTTAAAACAATACAAGGTGCATCGTTTTGCAAAGATAATAATGCTATTTTCCGAACAAATTTATGGATTTAATGATCTATGCAATGGTCGCCCATAACTAGTAAGAATCATAATTAGGATTAATGATACTGAGAAACTTGAGTTCGTTCTCTAGCTAAAACATATAAAATATTCACATTCTAATTATGTTGGAATTATTTCCTCATATAAAATAACCACATTTACTTCGCATTAAAATTATCCTTGGCAATACCTTTCGCTCTACAAAACAATGTTCCAGATAAGGCTGATGCTTTAAATTCTCATTTTTCGACTTTTTGCTGTGAACCATGGAAGAACAGATTGAAGAGACTTGCTAAGTTTGTTTGCAGCGTATTTTATTTCGTAGATGCGGTTAGCCAGAGCTACAGGTTGTTCGAAGTACTAACTTGTATGACCAGTAGTTTGTACTACACAGCAGAATACTACAATTTTTAACTTTGTTTCTTGTATCGAATAAGTCTGACTTTTTAGTATGATAGCTTCAAACGTGCATGAAAACAGACCTAAATACTACTATAATGTAAGATTTATCACCATTGCGAAACAAGTCAGTCAATACGTTTCTTTTATGAAACCAGTTCTCTAGTCTTTAGTGTAAATCTAGACAGACTGTGTAAAGATATTGACTACTCAAATACAATCTTTTTAACTTGTCAGTATAGGGTCGTGAAGATTTCTGGACTTCACTGAAATCACAAACCCATCTAAGTTAGATCACCACTGAAGCCCTGGACGGCCGTTTCGTTCAAGCATGCGACTCCTGAGCAGTGGGTATGTAAGACCCCACAACCTGGAACCGAACCCAGGACCTTCAGCTCACTGAGCCCGGATCCAGTGGTGTGATAGCATAACTTCAACCAATTCATGACTGCGCGACCATCTCCCATTACCCTCGGCGGGTACCTTCTTTGCACCCGACATAGCTTAGCTCCACATCCTCCTACTAAAACTCCGGTAATCCGCCGACACGAATATAAACCATTATGTCGAGAGTTGTAAACTACCTGATTCGGGATATCGTAAACAATGGCTAGACTTTGGATGATGCCTCGAAACCTTTCGTGATGGTACAGTTGTATTCACTCTTTGTCTTGTTACAGAACCTGAGTTCAGAGATCCCCTTATACTTTTCCCATCTTTTTATATACCTAATTTTTCTACTTCTTCGTGATTTGTCTTGATAATTTTATCCCGCTGTGTTGCTGTGATGATGGTAACTCAAAGCAATGGACATACATGCTAGATTCTAAGTTACATAAGACTAACTGACTTTTCAACATTTTCATATTAATTTTGATTTTAGGTGGATAGATATGACTACACAACCTTCAGCTAACGCACATCAATGTAAGTCCATTATATGTAATAATCCCAATCAACTATTGATTTACAGTGAAAGATAATTTAGCAAAACCTGAAGAGCACCATTCTGAATAACAATCCGTCCATTAAGATGGACGGTGTGTAGATTTTCTGCAATCAGAATATTGTTTACAAGGGCTGACATCAGGAAACTGACAGAAGTTGGAAGTGTGTACTACTAAATCTCGACTGTGATCTACAACTCGAGTAGATAGACCCAAACCTCGGTTTTGAGTTCAGTCGGTAGCGGGATCTTGCGTACTGTCGTGCAGCGTTGTACGAAACAGCCTTCCAGTTATTGTGAGGCCAAAATAAATCCAAATGATCTATTCTTAGACCTACTGCTTTTTAGAAGTTCATCATTCTAATGACTCAAGTTTGCCGATACCCAAGAGAAAAATAATCATATAGTTGTCATGTCTCTCACTAGCAAGGAGATTGCGCTGGATCGCTAATTTCCTAGAGACTAAGTACCCTTATCTGGATTCTCACAGTAGTCCTGGATACCTGCTACCAGTAATTTAATCTGCAGGTTTCTTAAGAATCATTTGGATTTATAATTTGAAATGTAACTACTGAATAGTCTCCATAAATTTGACAAACGATCCTGGTGTCCTATCACATCTTTAACATTTTTGCAACACGTTCATGTTGTGTTATTACCTCGTTTTTTATAGCTCTGCTTACTGAGAGAACATGACAAACTGACCAAAAATTCGAAACGATTTGGATGCGAAGTGAAATCTGCGCAGTCACAATTCTGAGACAACAAGTAACTCTTACTTTTATATCGGTGTACATAACTCACTTTATTTCAAGAGAACACTACTTGTAATCAATATACATGTAAAAAAATGTCTATACTTGTAATATCGTTGGGTTTCTATAACTGATTTTATGTCTAATACTAAACGGTGGTAGTTTATCAGCTTTCATATGGTGGTAGACACGTCGATTGATATCTAGATACTAAATATAATTAACTTGTTCATCAGTTATGATACTTACCAGCTGCCCAAACCAAAGAAGGTAGAACAGAGCTGTGACTTAGGAACTCAGTAAAATGCCTTGACTACCAAACCAGCGCTCCATGTATTCATTTATTTAAGATTCTCAAGCTTTCCTGAGTTATTCATCGCTAAGCATTTACTTCCTTTTTATAAAAACAAACTACTCGCAATATATAGCAGACTTTGCATATCTACAGGTAAATATATTGCCTTTAAATATTACCATCCTACGTATGTTAAGCGCGATCTTAATACATTGAAGGATTTTCGCAGTTTGCCAGTATCTGGCTGAAAATCTACTAAAAAAAATAGAACAACGTTTATGCCGTGTATAGATCTAGGCAACAGTAGTAAATCTGTTGTAAACCATTATCTGCATGTATTTAAGTGTTTAGTTGAGGTCTCCCTGTTGTGTTTTATCAGCTGGTATAGAAGACTAGAAACGAATCAAATAAGACCCAATATTTTCTTGTTTCAGGTTGTACTAGTGTATCTAAGCACCTCAGGTAGATCCTCTTAATTTAACGGCTACAAGCTTAATGGAATCAGCGTGTTGAAGATAAAATCATCCTTTGTTCACTAATTTTTGAATGTGATACCGCGTTAGGGTATTTACCACTTGAAGTACAAAAACGGGAATATTTTTATCAGATAAACTTCCGTTTATATAGAAAAGTAAAACATGAGTTAATAACTAGATTTTACAATTAAACATACGAACAAATGTCTGCATGACCAGTGCAATTAAGTACACAAACAAGGTTTCTGGTTAGAAGAAAATAAAGACATTTACTACACTATGTACATGAGTCCAAATATGATCACAAGCAAAGTATTTCACTTGTTAAAGCATGTTACTGTTGCAAATTCGCCAACATAGATTGAAACCTACTACGAAGAAGCATTGAAACGTCCAAGTAACGTTCTGTACAGTTTTCGATACAATTTGCTTTTTTCGCATCCATTTTCGAAGACGGGTATCCAACAGCACACTTATCCCAACACACAGAAGTCAGATGATTGACATGATTCTGAAACTCCGCTCTTTGTTGTATCGTTTGTATGAATGTCTGCAATTCCTTATCTACCCCATCCGATTCTCGTGAAGAAAGAGCAGATTCGTAGCTGAAAAGTTTCGTTTTATAACTTTTTTATCTGACTCAAACATGAATTGGATGCAATGCACTTTTTACAGAATATATAAATGTCAAGTACTAAGGTCAACATAAATCCTAACAATTCAAGCAATAATTAGAACTTTCGATTAATAGGACACTAAATTTCGAATATGAACTGTTGCCAGCATTTTCTTGAACCTATACGAAAACCCATCCTTGATGGTTTTAGTAGAACAACTGTTTAAAGCAAAGATACGTCAGACATAATTAACCGAAGGAAGACTGAGACGCCCTAATACAAAGAGCACGAGACTAATAATTTGCGAGTCGAAAATTGGGCTGAAAGATTTATATATATACAGCATTCAATAGCGAGTACAAAAGACATACTGAATCACATCATAAAGACACTAGGTTTTCTTTAAGACCTTTATCTGCAACTTACAAGTGGCTTGTAAATAAACACAAAAACAAAAATAGGAAATTTATATAACTTAATAGTTGGAAACAACCGTTGTTGCAATTTTCTTATAAACTAGATAAACTTTGTCAAGTCAACATAACTACTCAAAACGCATATATTTAATATGTATATTGTGACAATCAGAAAACCAAAGTCTAAGATTTCTTCCCATTAGTCGAGAGTTGAGAAGTGTTGTTTACATTAGGTATTGATTAGAGGGTAGGTGCAAAAGGAGATGCACCTCTAACCAAGAGTGAATAAAGCGAAATGTAGAGAGCGACACGACATAGGAATAAAGATCAGCTTCTACAAACTGCTCTTCATCATCCCCTTGAAAGTGAACTATTTTAATAGTTCACTCTGATCCTATATATAGGGCGAAATAAAAACCTTTCCTTCTGTTGACATATGTTAGTTTAGCAACAAAACCTAATTGGATTCTACAATATACATCAGTAGTGTACAAGAAGTTTATCAATCTTAACTAAGGAAAGAAAAACTCTACGCAGAAAAACCTACTCGAACGACATGTATGATAAAAGGGAAAGAGGACTCAAGGTTACGAATGGAAACACTAAAACGAGCGGGCTATTGTTGTGGGTTAGTTTGGTCAGATGGTACTTTTTGTTCAGTCATAGAATGCAAAGTAGTGTGAAGGAAGAGAACTGAGAATAGAAGCTGAAAAATTGGAGACCTAGCAAGCTCGTATAATGCATTTACATTTAGTAAAGAAAGCAATAGACTGTAATCAGCAGTGAAAAAAGCCTGAGGATAAAACAGTCTCGAAGTCAAAAATAAAAGCAAATAGTTCAATCCGCTGCATTAATAGGCGTTAGATCTATTCACCACTCTTAGTTTGTGCTCATTACTTCCGATATGTTTTCATTTAGTTCTATCTGGATTATATTCAACAAATCGTGAAAACTAGAACGTGGTGCTGAATAACAAGGAAACTGACCTTCGAGAATTAGGAGGAAAAAATAATCACGATAACCTCTTGAGAAGATCCAACCCACTTTCGATTTGTCAACGGGTGGTGATATTACAGCGCTCCGGATGGTTTTGGATGGAATGGAAGGCATCAGCCACTCCTTAGACCAGTTTATCATATGATTTAAGTCCGCCTGAAGAGTAAACGCGTCTTTGTCTACAGTTACTACTCGCCAACTTTTTAAATCATCACAGTATAATAACATTGGAGACTGTACTATACTTGTAAGATCATTAACGTACAATATAAAAAGTAAAGGACCTAGGACGGAACATTGGGGTACTCCACTAAGTACTGGTCTCCAGATGGAGCACTTGGAACTTAATCTTACTTTTTGTCTGCGACCTACTAGGAAATCTTTAATCCATTTTAAAAGAGGTCCGGCAATACCAAGGTTTGCCAACTTCAATAGCAGTCTATTAGTTGGCACCTTGTCAAAAGCCTTACTGAAATCTATGTGGACAAAATCCACTGACTTTCCGTTGTCTAGCGCATTAATCCAGAACTTCCTAGCTATAAGAAGGTTCGTTGTACAGGATAGACTCTTTCTAAAACCATGTTGTGCCATGTTCAGCAAGTTTCCATGAATGCCGTTATGGTCCGTTTGATTATTCTTTCCAGTATTTTAATTACAACACGGGCGAGACTTACGGGTCAGTAATTCGATGGAACTTGTCGTGGACCTGTTTTATGTATGGGAGTGACGATTGCGTCCTTCCAGTCCATAGGTAACACACCTTGGTCAAGTGACATTAAATATCATGGTCAGTGGTGCCGCGATATATTGGGCAATATGTCTCAAGATTTTGGGGTGTAGTTCATCTGGTCCTGTTGACTTCTCAATGTTTAGGGTGCTAAGAGCCTTAAGCACATCGTTTTGGTCGAAGTCCACAGTGAGCAGGTGGTTTGTTGACTCTGTATTTGGGTCTGGTTCTTTCTCTAGAGGAGGTTCCTGAGTGAAAACTGCCCCAAAATAGTCAGCCATAACCTCTGCTTTTTCCTGATCTTCCTCTATCATTTCAGATTCACTTCCTACTTTAATTAGGTTGGGAATCCAATTATGCATCCCTGTTCTGTAGTTTATGTACGAGAATATTCTCTTGGGCTGCTTGAGTGCAGATTGTGCAAGCTGCATTTCATATTTTCTTTGAGCTTCCCGAATTTTTGTTGTGCACTCGTTTCTTATCGATCTGTAGCGTTCTCAGCCGATGTTGCGGAGTTAATTGCCTGCATATCTGCCTTCCATATGTTGGGACGGGCCGGCGCAATTGTTTGACAAGCAATCTCAGCCATGAATTTGAATAAGATGACTGTATGGTCACTTCTTCCAAGCGGTGCGAGAAAAGCCATTTGACCAACGTCATCACCGTGTGTGAAGACTAAATCTAAAAGAGAAGAAGAGTTTCTTAAGTCGTATCTTGTGGGATCTCTAATGTGTTGGAATAATGCTAGTCCAATCGAGGTTTCTAACAGTTTGCAGTCGAACGACGATATCGATGACCCTACTTCTAAGTTAACCCAGTTTATATATGGTGCATTAAAGTCGCCTACTACAAGACTTACCGTTGTTACACCAGGACCTAAGTTTACTTAGGAGAATATCATCTGCTACACATTCTGGACTGCGATATACTACAACTACTTCAATATCTTGCTGTCGGCATTTCAACTTACATCTTAACAGTTCACATGTCCCTGAAACATGTGCTACTGTCCCAGCTAATTTTATGGTTAGGGTACTTTTCGTCTACATAATAACCCCGCCTCCCCTTCGGTTAGTCTATCAGCCCTACTGGTTATGAAACCAGTCAACTGAGTTTCACTATCTAATACTTCTGACGTTAACCAAGCTTCCGAGACAGCAATAATGCCCGGTTTTTCTTTATTCACCACTGACTTGAGCTCCGCCATTTTATTTAGGAGGCAGCGAGCATTTGTGTAGCATATATTTAAGTCTGTGGAGAGCTTTCCCTTGCCACCCAGAGTGGCTTGGGGATCGTTTTGCTCCGAACTTTTACAATTTGAAAACCCTTAAGAACGAGGTTTCTTTCACCGTTTTGGCGGCGCTCATTTATTTCCGCTTCTGCAGCTCGTCTCTTAATACGATCAGCTAGGCTGAGATCCTCACGGACATATAACCTAATCACGCGCGCTTTTGAAGGTTGTACCTTTTTCACGTGGTATTATAAATTATGAAAAAATAAAAAAGTAATTGACCACATATCAACTGAAGTGCTGAAAAGACTCCAGTGTATGCAGAATGTCATTGTGTATAATATACCTGACAG